AAACTTCGTGAGACGGCATTGTGTCATCGGTTTCATTGAACTTTCTCTCTCTTTCTCTCTCTCTCTCTCTGCCTGTCTGGCTGTCTGTCTGTCTGTCTGTCTGTCTGTCTGTCTGTCTGTATGTATGTATGTATGTATGTATGTATGTATGTATGTATGTATATATGTTTCACTCTCCTTCGTTTTTTTTACATCCGTCTGGCTTGGCTCTCGTTTCGCGTATCTCTTCGTTACTTGGAAATTTTAAAGATAATGGGACGATGTTTTTGTGGAGTGCCAGCTGATTCTCTCGATTGTGTGTGTGTACTCGCGTGTGTGTATGTGTGTTATGTTATGTGTTAATAACTCCTTCATTTTATTCTCGGTAAAAGAGTAACCGTAGACGGTATTGTGACTTCTTATTAAACGCGAGATAATTTTTAACAGAGTAATCATAATATTTTTTTTATTTGTTTCTTTTTATACCTGGGATTTAACTCAATCGTTTATATATATATATATATATATATATATATATATATATATATCTATATATATATATCTTTTTTTCTTTATTCCTGGGAAAGTAATCGAAAAGATTGAAGATCGTTTTGAAAGAAGATATCTTTCTTCGAATACTACCGACGTTTATGATATCGAACGATTTTACTCTAGTCCGTTGAATTTTCCTAAGATCTTTGCTAGATCTTCGAATATAAAAAAAAAAAAAAATAAATAAATAAATAAATAAATAAAAATAAAAAGAAGAGGAAGAGGAAGAAAAATAAAATTCTTTTTATTCATCATCAGAAAAATCTCGAAAATATTTCTCGAAGATCAAGTAGAACGAATGATGGACGAACATTAAAGGAACACGGATAATAAATAGAGAAAATAAAGTAAATACGAAAGAGTGAATGGTGATGGGACGATGGAACGAATGAACTGCATAAATAAAAATCATGCCAACTGAAGGAAGATTTGATCCAGACCAAATCGAAGTTAGAAAAGAAGCGTGTTTCGGTGGTGCTCGTTCGGTTGGTCCTTCTTCCTTCGTTTTTTGCATACGAATGAGAATTCTCTCTCTCTCTCTCTCTCTCCTACTTCTCTTAGTGAAAGGTGTACAGAAGAGTGATTGAGAGAGAGAGAGAGAGAGAAAGAGGAAGCTCCAGAGGGTTCCTTCGCGAGCATGAAAGTTGGTTAAAGCCGAGAGGAGTCGAACCAAGCCGAGCCAAGAAGCAGAACGGAAGGAAGGCTGCATTTATTAAACTGAGCGCAGACGTGCAGCACTATCTCTATCTCTTTCTCTCTCTCCCTCTCGCTCACCCCTCTCTCTCTCTCTCTCTCTCTCTCTCTCTCTCTCTCTCTCTCTGTTTCTGTCTCTCTCTCTCTGTTTCTGTCTCTCTCTCTCTCTCTCTCTTTTTCTCTTTTTCTTTTTCTCCTCTTCCTGGCGCACCCGCGACGATTTCGATGTGTGTCCCTAACTGTGTTTACCTGCGAGTTTGTGTGCGTGCGTAAAATAGTACCTCGATACCCTCTTCATCACCGTTCTTTTCTCTTTCTCTTTCCCCTTCTTTCTTTTTTCTTTTTTTTTACTTTTTTTTTTTTTTTTTACTTTTTCTTCCATTCCATCTATCTCCCTCACACTACCATCTTTCCTTAACGCGCGCAACGAGCAACGTACTATGTACATATATATACGTACATGCATACATACGTATACACATATATATATACATATGTACATACATATATACATACCATGCATACCACCCCCTCCATTCTTTCCAACGAGTTCCATCTTCTCACGAAGTCGTTCGAAATTGAATGCCGGCGGTCGACTCGACGGTTCGACTCCGGCCTCTTCAACTTTTACGTTTTCTCTTTCTTCATCTTCTTCTTCTATTTTTTTTTCTTTCTCTCTTTTTTTTTCCCTTATTCTTTCGACTCTGTTGTTTTGAATACGCTTTAAAAAAATTCCCCATAAAAAAAAGTTCTATTGATTGACGAAAATCGAACGTAGTTTCTAATCTTTTCTTTTCTTTTTTTTTCTTTTTTTCTTTTTTTCTTTTTTTTTCTTTTTTTTTTCTTTTTTTTTTTTTTGTTTAGATCTTATCTCTTCTTCAATTGAATTTTTTTTTCATAGTAGATTTATCATTTTGTTTAATCGTAAGAGGAGTCACATAGTTCACGGTGTATTTCTCACAGTGTAATCCTAGATAATTCTCTTAAACCTTCCAAGAGAATTTCCGCGTTATCGTCGAGAAATGGTCCAGCCGCAGCAGCAACAGCAGCATCCCTGGCTTTGGCCTGCGATACATGGCCACACGATCGACCGTTCCAAACTATTCGTCGAAGGCTTCGTTTAATCGTTTGCCAGACTGGAGATACCGAATCGTATTGTTCGATTATAACGAGCACTTGGCATACCAGAGCTATTGGAAATACAATAGCAAGGAGAGATTCAAAGCTCGAGGGTATCTTTCGCTTTGTCCGATGAGTTACCATCGTTAATTTCGTTTTACATTAGGGTTGTTCAACGTTGCTTTGAACAACATTACTTCTTATAAATTTCCTCGAAAACGAGATCTGTTCTTTTTTATTTGTACAAAAAAAAAAAAAGAAAAAAAGAAAGAAAAAGAAAAAAACAGAACGAAGTAGTAGATGTCTCTATTTACCAAAAGAAAATCTAAGAAATGAGGTATATAAATCAGTTATTTCAAAATTTATTACTTAATAAATCGCACGGTCACGTCCAATCTTGAAATCAACGATATATACCCGACGAATCGATTTTGTAACGTAACCTCTTGAAGCGCATATTGCCTCGCTATAAATTACCACGGTGATTGCTTCGACATAAGCCCTGCTTAGAGGTTTAAAGTTCCCATTTCGAGAGAATTAAACACGTTGGTTAGTAATACGAGGTCCTCTTGAAAACGTTCAAGAAACTAGAAGAGCGTTCTAATTTTAGTCGATACTTTTAATCTTACATCGTAACGAGAACTAAATAAATAAGGCATTTAATATATACAAATGAAAAGTTATTAACCAAGAATAATTATTTCTTATAACGATCTAATATATAACAGTGTTGAACTATCATTCAACGTGAATATAATCGGAGAGAACGAGGCAGGCATCCTTCGTCAAAAAGTTCAAACGAGCATCGAACCGAAAATTGACCCCAGGCCGATTGGTTCGGACGTTTGATAGTCTACGCATATGAGGGTGGTCTCGCGAGAGGGGTGGAAAACAATTAATCAACGGTATACGGTTTCCCCATTTGCACGGTTCGACGAACGATGCAAGAGAGAAAGGGAGAAAGAGAGAGAGAGAGAGAGAGAGAGAGAGAGAGAGAGAGAGAAGTATAGTAAATAAAGGATTAGAAAGAGAGGGAGAATTGAAGTAGGCGGTTGTGGGGTAAGAGGTGCAGCGTGACTGATTCATTATGAGACTGTAATTAAGTCCTGGATATTAGCATACCGACAACGTCGGCTTTAGCCCTCTCCAGTCGGCACCGACTGGAACGACTTGACCTGGCCCGAGGGCAAGGTGCTTCCTATGCTAACGAGATCGTCCCATGCACGCCGCTACATCCATGTTGGTAGCCCAGAAAAACTGTGCATTTACTTGCGCGATGTCGAGCGAATCCCCACCAACACCCATCCCATGCCAGAAACACCCATGGAGCCAACATTGCCACCCGTTATACGAGTTATACCGGTAGGACTATATTCCCGACCATTAGGAGCCGCTACCAGACGCGTATCTCTTAATTAGCCGGCGAAATCCACTCTGGAGGCGCCACCGCACGAAAATCGTACCGTTATCAATTCACCCCCTCGACCACTACGAACTTCTACGGTCAACTCTGTCTACTCGGCTTCTTTTTTTTTTTTTTTTTTTTTTTGTATTTATTTTTCTTTTTTTTCTATTTTTTTATTTTCTCTCTAGGGTTACCAGATTCTCTCTCTCTCTCTCTCTCTCTCTCTCTCTCTCTCTCTCTCTCTCTCAAAACGTATGCATGAAGGACTTAAAAATGATCACAACTTTGATTTTTTTTGATAACGAAAAATAAAGGTCTCCGGGATTAACGACTCTATTTTATCGATCATTGTTATGTTCAATCAGAAACTATTTTGTTTTTCTATCTCTTAATTAATAGCTTTGCAACTCTTGTCATACGTGATACGTACATATATATCTGTCTATCTGTCTCTGTGTGTGTGTGTATGTGTATATGTGTGTGAATTGCACGTATCTGTCTCCTCTGTGTGTACGAGTACTTGGTATCAAGCTGACTCCGCGTCGATGGAATCAAGAGTTCTCGCGAAACGTGTTTTTCCATCGATGAGGGTGACGTTATTGGGCTATCGGAAAAATTTTGCCGGCGTTCTACTTCCACTTCGCCGTGGTATCAAGAAGTTAAAACGATCCCTCATAAAAATCCATCGTTCGGCCAAGTTTCACCGAGTAGTTATCTAAAAGTCCGCAAGGACCATCGTTCTCTTCCATCTTGTTCTTTCTCTTTCTCTCTTTCTTTCTCTCTCTTTTACTGAGTCGCAGCGTGATCTTCTTGCCAGTGGCGAGTAAAAAGATTTATTTGCTCGACATTACGAGGACGAACGAAGCAACGAAATTTGCGGAAAGAAGGCAAAACTTTTACTCCTCTCTTTTTGTTTCTTCTTTTTCTCTTTTTTCTTTTTTCCTTTTTTATTACTTATTTCCTTTCTTGTTCTCTCTTATCTCCCTCCCAACCTTCTCTCTCTCTCTCTCTTATCTCCCTCCCAACCTTCTCTCTCTCTCTCTCTCTCTCTCTCTCTCTCTCTCTCTCTCTCTCTCTCTCTCTCTCTCTCTCTCTCTCTCTCTCTCTCTCTCTCTCTCTCTCTCTCTCTTTAGTTTTCGTTCTCGTCATCGTCGTCTCGTCGATCGATTAACAATCCCCCTCCCCCTTGTACTACCTCTCCAATCTTACGAAATAAGATTAATCAAACCGCGATTTTCCATCCGCTTTTCAGCACGCTGAGGTGGAGGATGGAGGAGTTGGAGACGCTGGAGAGCACAGAGTGCCCGGAGTGTCCCGGGCCACCCCCTGAGTTCCGATTGCCACCACCCCCTCGACCACCTTTCCTCACCGAGGGTACCTTCTGTTCGGAGGCGCCCCTAGCCGAGCTTGAAGACTGTGTTGCCATTCCGGTAAGTACTCTTTATCGATGGGGGTTTTCGTTATTATTGTCGCCGTTCTTTCTCATTAACCACGCTTATCAAGACTTTCTTTTCACGATTTATATTTAAATTTTGTAATGCTCGTGAAAATCCTATAAAAGGAAGAAAAGAGAAATATTTTTAAACGAACCGATGAAATATCTAAGCAATCAATTCGAAGTTATAGACGAACGAATTTAGAGAGAAAGAAATTATCTGATTTTATCGATTAGGATCGTTTTATTCAATAGAATTCTAATATTTTCATATTAAACCTTTTAAACGACAGTAACTTTTTAAAGGGTGTTAATATTATACATATTCATTGAGATTTTTATTAGCAATGAGATTAAGAAGGAAAGAAGTGGGTAAGAGTCCAATTATTTTAAAAAGGAAAAAAAAAGAAAAGAAGGAGTTTTACAAATTTTATATTTTGAGAAATCTTTTTGAATGATATATATATATAAATCTTTTTGAATGATATATATATATATATATATATATATATATGAATGATATATATGATATATATATGTATATATATCATTTGAGTTATATATATATATATATATATATATATATATATATATATAAAACTCAAGATTAATTCACTTCTCTTTCTCACCCCTCCCCCGAATCGTACGACGTCTCTTAACGTCGAAACTTTTCTCCAGATCGGCAAATCGCCTTAGCCCGTCGGCGTGTGCGATTTGTTAATACTCGATGTAGTTCTGAAACATGGTGGGGGAAGTAGATAGGGAGGAAAAGGTTTCGATGTAACATAGTTCGCGCGCTATGCCGTCCGCGTAGACTCGTCGGACGCTCTTCTACCGGCTTATATCGATTTCTCTCGGTCGATGCTCCAGGCAGACGAGTTATATCTTCTCCCGTTTTCTCTCTTTCTCTTTCTCTCTGTCCCTATCCCACCTTCTCTCTTTCCCGTATCAACGGACGGAGTATTTGCCCGTGGTATTCGGGTATTCATGAGCAGGTACATACGAGAATCCGAAGATCAACGATGCAAGCCACCTGGGAATACTGAAATTCGAAGAAAGAGCGATAGAGATGCTAGAGTTGAGTGTGTTTTTGCGCGTGCGTTCACTGAGTGTGTGTGTGTGTGTAAGTTAGCGTCTATCTAGTCTAGCCGGGAACAAACGGAAAAGGACTTCGAGTTACCTAATAAATCGTATCATCTCAGCGTGTTCGACTGGAAACCGTGGCAATTGTAATGCGGCAAGAATTCGATGGATCGCTTCCGTGCCATCGAATGGACTATTATAATACGAAGTTTTAGTTTTGGAATTCCGCTCGTGACTACGATACGTTTGAATCCTTTCTCTCTCTCTCTCTCTCTCTCTCTCTCTCTCTCTCTCTCTCTCTCTCTCTTTATCTATCTATGTCTTTCTCTTCGTTCAATCCTTTATCCAGAAATTATCATAACTCGTCTTAGAATTCATCTCTTCCTTTTCTTGACTGTCCTACGAGATATCACTAGCTATCTAATATTCACAAAGCTTTCTTATTCTCTTATTCATCGAAAGAAAAAATATCTCTTAAAGATTTCGTAAAATTCGAAAAAAATAATTGAAGTAGGTTTATCGTCGTTGATTTCGATCTTTGATTTTTTTTCTTCCAAAGTGTATTCCTTCGTCTTCTTCGTTCTTCTTTTTTTTTTTTTTTTTTTTTTTTTTAATATTTACTTCGAATAATCATCCCTAGAAGAAGGGAGTCAAGAGAAAAGAAAGAATCTTTTCTTTTCGTAGGTAAAGTCTAAAATATAAAGTCGACGAAAACGTTCTTATCCGTTAATATGTTTGTGCATTCTTACGTATATTTCACATGTGTATATATATATATGTGTGTGTGTGTGTGGTTGTGTGTGGGTTTGTTTATTTGTTTGTTTGTATTTATCTATAATTGGTCGAAAGAAGTAAATAGCTGCCAATGAGAATATCGTTCGTTTTATCGGTCAGTTCGATGGAAATGGAACGGTTAGGCCGATCGATCGAAATTTCGATCGATACTCGAAACAGGTGGCGGAGAAGAAACGATAGAAGGGAATAGAAAAGAAAATGGAGATGGAGGGATTCGGGGATGGGGTGAAGAGTGTAGGAGTGTTGAGAGGGGAAGCTCGAGCAATCTACCGTTTCTCGATTCGCATCGAAAGAACTCGATGGATTCTAGAGCTTCTTCTCTTCACCCAGTTTCGACGAAGAACCAGCATCTCTTGAATTCAATAAAATGAGAGAAAGAAATAGAGAGAGAGAGAGAGAGAGAGAGAGAGAGAGAGAGAAAAGAAGAAAAGAAAAAGAAGAAAAAAGGAATAGAGAAAGAAAGAAAGAAAGAGAGAGAGAGAGAGAGAGAGAGAGAGAGAAAATGGGACCAGCGTCGTTCACCTACGTTAATCGCCAAAGCATCGTTTACCTTCTCCAATGTAGAAATCTTCATTAACGGGAAAAAGGGCTCGTATATTTCGACCTGTACGATCGTCTTTATCTCTATTTATCTCTTTTATTTCTATCTTCTTTTAATTCTTTTTTTTTCTCTTCTTCAATCTTAATCCTTTTCGATCTTAACGAATCGTATCTCGTCTTAAAACATTCATGTATACTTTGGAAACGTATGTATATGTTGGTTGCGTTTTTTTGCTTCTTCGAATTTAAGGATTCACTTCGATTGGAAATTTCGAATGAACCAATGCCGTTTTTTTCTTTTTTTTTTTTTTTTTTTTTAAACGACACTTACTTAAGTAACATAAAAAAAAAAAAAAGAAAAGACGAAAAAGAAAGAAAAAGATTTCTTAAACAAGTCAGAATTGTTGGGGATTGCCTTTAAGATTCAGGATTAAAAAGGAAAAACGATTCAACGGATGCATTTGTATAATCGAATTTTTTGCAAGATTCTAAAAGTTCCGAACTCTTAGTGTGATCTGTTTGAAAAAAAAAAAGAAAAAAAAAGAAAGAAAGAAAGAAAGAAAGAAAGAAACCAGGACTCGTAAGTTAAACAAGGAAGGAATGAAAAAGAAAGAGGAGAGAAGAGAGAGAGAAGAGAGAGCGAGAGAGAGACAGAGACAGTTAACAACATGAAGCTAGAATTGGAAAAGAATTCCGATTAGAGAGTAGGACGCGTGATCTTTTCGCGTGGAACATCTAGAACAATTTCTCTCACGTACGATAACTTACGAATAAGTTTCAGAGTCTTAACAGTCCTTTAAAATTCTTTCTACGTTCTTCCCTCGTGAAACGATGAAACGATACATTTCCTATACGAATAAATCCCTATTGCTAATCTATCGATGGATAATTACTATCTATCTATCTATACATTTATTCCAATTTAGTTCAACTATTCTTTTTATCTTTTGCCTTCCACTAATAGTAAGCGGTGGAGAATCTAACATAATTAAATATATATGATACGAATAAATAAATTCCTTTCTCCTTTCATTAATACATTTCTCGCAGTTGATAAAATTTAATTATATGATTAATATTATAGATAATTGTTTTACTTAACATACTAAAATGTAAACAAAGAAACTTTCCCCGACCAAAGGGATTAAACACAGAGAGAAATGGAAAAAAATGAGAAGAGAGACGGAGGAGTAGCAGCAGCAGGAGCAACAGCAGCAGCAGCAGGAGCAACAGCAGCAGCAGCACCAGCAGCAGCACCAGCAGCAGCAGTAGTAGTAGTAGCTACAGGATTTTGATGTAAAAATTTTCGGTGTAGGGGTGATGTGGAGATGTTAAAAAAGTGTATTTACTTTGACGGGCGCCATCCTTCCGTCGGTATCGTTCTCTCTCTCTTTCTCTCTCTCTCCCTCACTCTCTCTCTCTCTCTCTCTCTCTCTCTCTTTCTCTTTCTCTCTCGTGCTTCTCCAACATCCTCTATCTGTTCCTCTTCTTATCCCACCTCAGTATTCTCCCTCTTTGAACCAAACATGACGAACAAGTAGAGATACAAAAACTGTAGGTGCCTATTAATAGAGAACACGTGTCTCTCTCACGCGGCTCGACGTGCATGTATATACCAACGGAGTCATTATCGCTCGACGATTTTACATCATTACGCGTAATTGGAGACCCTCCCAACTACGAGGACGACGACGACGACGACGACGACGACGACGACGACGACGACGACAACGACAACGACAACGACAACGACAACGTCGCGTTCCATTCCGTTCTTCGACCGACACTCCACTTTTCGCGACGTGCTCCACCTCTTCCTTTCTTTTGCGCGGATCCACGCCTTGTCTCGTTTCTCTTTCTCTCTTTCTCTCTCGTCCCTCTCTTTTATTTTTCTCCTTTCTATCTCTTTCTCTTTATCTTTCTGCCTCGTAGTATGATGACAACGAAAGGAAAAAAGAAACGAACCGTTCTCTTATTCATAATAATTAAAAAAGTCTCTGGGCCTCGTCCCGCGTGAAAATCGTACTTGGTCCGTCTGGGATCTCTTTGTAAAGGATTATTTTTTTAAGAGTCGTGTAAAATTTCAAAATATAATTGTTTCGAAATGTTCTCCGTACCCCCTGACGTAGTAAGTATTATCCTTTTATTTTTTCAACGGGTTACATTCAGCTCCTTTGTTTATTTATTCTTTTTTTTTTTTCTTTGTCTTTTTCTTCTTTTTTCGGCTTAACTATATTATATATTTTATTCCTGAATGTAAGTCGTTTAACTAGTTATGCGGATGGGGGTGTAAAACAGCTCGATTAAAATAATTTGCGCATTGCATGATTCATGATTTTTTTTTTTTTGTAATGATAGAATTGGAAATGTGCTTTCAAATCTACCAATTATTTTACCTTCCGAGATTTCAAAGAATATACAGTATTCTTTTGGAGTCAAAATTATTCATACTGTAGAAATGACGGCTTTTCAAAGTGCCTGGAGATGTAATGTACAACTTGAAATTATTTTGAGATGTGTACATAACAATTAGGATTAATCATAGATCAGTAAACATATTTTCTGTGATTAACTATT